GTGAGTGGCCCCTTTTTATCCTTGGCTAAATGTAGCCTTTCTTTGGAGCATTGTTTTTCTTCCTTCTTGTCAAACACTAGCTGGTTGGTACCAATGGAGCCCAAAGACAAAATGTCAGCTCTGCCCCCTGGCAAGCTGTATCATTTTTAAAAGGGTGAAATATGTTTTTGCATGTAGTCCAGAGTACATCAACAGTTCCCTTGGCAATATGTCCTGATATGGGAAATCATGCTAATTTCCCAAAACCCCTCCCTTGATAATGTCTATGAATGATCTACAGATTTTGTGACAATTGTTGTTAAGCTGTGCCTTGCTTGGAGGCACGCTGGCACAGAAAGGTCACATTCTTTGGGCGTTCATAATGCAACTACACTGTGAGAGGAGCGTGAATGCGACCGAGTATAGGAAAATACCGCAGATGTTTTCAGCTGTCCCAGGACGAGAAGAAAAATGCTGTCTTTCATCCTCTTTCCTTCCACTTTCACCACGCTCCCTGCCCTGTCTGCAACTCTGTCTGCAACTCTGTGTGTGTGTGTGTGTGTGTGCACGCCGAGCGCTGGACTGAAGCTGTGCTGACTTATTGAAATTAAATGAACATTATTTCATTATTTTCTCATCTTTTTTTTTCCTCTTTCCACCCGCTCTCTGTCTGACCTTCTATCCGTCTAAAGGTCGCAGCTGTGTATGTGTGTTCGGGTGCATGGATGTGTGCTAAATGTCATTGTCATAGCTGAGTGTGGAGGATTTTATGGCTAAAGCCCCTATCGGGCCTTTTGAAGGAATGTGTTGCCCGGAGACAGACGGGGAAACAGGGAAATAAAGGGAGAGATGTAATGAAACAAGGACGCATTGAGAGGATTGAGCAAGTGTTTAACTGCTATTCAAAATTCGTTTTTTACGAGTTTTTAAATGGGTCTTCTCAAACTGTTGAATGACACTTGACAGCAACAGTTAGTTCTCTAAAGTTAAATCATGTAGACATGTTCTGGCTATAACCCAACATTAAAATAAGACCTGAAAATGAGTACAATATGTCCCCTTAAATATTGTTTCCCCATCAAATGATACAGTACAGTACACACTCTAATCTATAATCCTCTCTCTCTTGCTGCAGAAACGTGCCAAGGGCCAATTCCTCTTCTTTAAGGTGTGTGAGCACCTTAACCTCATGGAGAAAGACTACTTTGGACTCGCTTACATTGACAGCCATGAACATAAGGTATGCACACACACATACACACACACACACACACACACACACACACACACACACACACACACACACACACACACACACACACACACACACACACACACACACACACACACACACAGGATGTACTGTTCGCCCAAAAAGTCAGTAATGTCCACATAAAGGAACTCCAGACATGGATGTCTGTACAGTGTCTTGTAACATACATTATTTCACAGCGATCTTTCTTTCTTCCTGCTCTGTGTCTCTCTACCTCTCTACAGTGTTGGTTGGATCCCACTAAGGAAATCAAGAGACAGATACGCAGTAAGTTTCTTTTTTTGCCTTCTTTAAGTTTCATACACACATCTATCCATTTATCGACCAATACATCCATCCACCCACCCATCTATCAATCCATCCCTTCCTCCATCCATCCATCAAGCCATCAATCTTCCATCTACCAATTGTCCATCCATTATCCATTCATCCAACCATACACACATCTATCAATCCATTTATCGACCAATACATCCATCCACCCATCTATCAATCCATGTATCGACCATCCATCCATCCCTTCCGCCATCCATCCATCCATCAAGCCATCAATCTTCCATTTACCAATTGTCCATCCATTATCCATTCATCCAACCATACACACATTCATCTATCCATCTATTAACCCATCCATCCATGTCTCCCTCTGCCTTTATCAACAATATATTTCACATAACACAGTAGCCCCAACTTCTCTGCCAAAAGGTAATACATTAAATATATATAATGAATTAATGAAAGAATTCAGCAAACAGCTTCACAATAAAGACAAACAAAGCCGGAGACATTTGAAACCTCACGACAGCAGTCTTATCAGAGTTGGCAGAACAGACGCAGTTACCAAGGTGTGGCCTGTTTACTTCATTATTTATCGCTCGCTTAATGAACAGCTGTTCATTTATAAATGCGGGGCAAGGTGCTGTGTGGTGTCTGTTGTTGATCAACAGCTATCAAGTGTGTGGAGCAACCAAGCATAGTCAAAGCTTTGTTTTGTTTTTGAATGGACGCATGCGTTGGTAACGATACAAAAAGGTGTCCTCCATTTGTGACGACGTCTCTATATTACGTTCAGAGCACAATTACAAATGACATCTTTTTAGAATCGCGACAAACTAGCTTGGTGTGTCTCCACTTTGTCATTGTATTTGTTGAGGATTTAATTAGAAGTTGTGAACTTCTTTTGGTACTTCTTGCTGTACAATGGAATTCTCTTTAGAAGGGGTTTGAAGAAAAGGCCCAAAACTTTAGCTGACTTCTCTTCAGGAAAAGCTTAACTCTTGCTGTTTTTGTCTTGGTCTTCCTATTTGAAGTAAAAACAGGCTTTAACACCCAGCCTCAAACTTCCAAGTTGCACTTTTAAGGGAAAGGCTTTGTAAAAACATATACTTTTGGCTCATAAAGTGTTATTTTTGAATGAGTGTATCTGAGTGTGTTGGCTGAGTGTGTGTGTGTAAGCGTGTGGTGAACATTCATGCCTCATTGGCTTGTGGCTGTTTCACTGTGTGTGCCTGTGGTTTGTGGATCAGCGATGTGTGTGTGTGTGTGTGTGTGTGTGTGTGTGTGTGTGTGTGTGTGTGTGTGTGTGTGTGTGTGTGTGTGTGTGTGTGTGTGTGTGTGTGTGTGTGTGTGTGTGTGTGTGGTGTGTGTGTGTGTGTGTGTGTGTGTGTGTGTGTGTGTGTGTGTGTGTGTGTGTGTGTGTGTGTGTGTGTGTGTGTGTGTGTGTGTGTGTTGTGTGTGTGTGTGTGTGTGTGTGTGTGTGTGTGTGTGTGTGTGTGTGTGTGTGTGTGTGTGTGTGTGTGTGTGTGTGTGTGTGTGTGTGTGTGTGTGTGTGTGTGTGTGTGTGTGTGTGTGTGTGTGTGTGTGTGTGTGTGTGTGTGTGTGTGTGTGTGTGTGTGTGTGTGTGTGTGTGTGTGTGAGGTTTGCCCCCCCTCTGCTCTCCTCTCCCCCCGGTTTACCCCCCAGCAGTCGCCCCGCTCGTCCACCTACATACCCAGCTGGGACCTAAACAGTTGGTTTTTTTGGGTCCTTGTTTCATTTTTGGAACGGTTTTAAGCTGTACCACGTGCAAGCCTTATGATGTAAGGATTTAAAAGAGAGCTTTCCGAAATTGTCATTTTGGTGGACTGACAAATGAAAAAAAAGTCAGTCTACAGGGTTTGTTGTTTGGTGCGGTAGGTTAGACTCCTTCCCACAATTCAGATTACCATGAGCAACACTTTGTGGGTGTGTCTGTTGTGTCTGTGGAATCATGACTTGAGCATTAGGTCAAACAATAGAGAAAAATCATGTAAAACTTAGTTTGACACAATGAAACACACGAAGCTAAATAGAGAGAGGATGAAGGAAAAACTAATACAACTTGAAAAAGAAATTAGAAAAATAAGCGAAAAACTTGAACCCACAAATCTGAGTTGTTGGAAGTCAAATCCAATTGTAACACAAAAAACATTCAGAGCAGTCACATATTTAATCCCAGCCAGTGAGCCCCTTCTAGATTGTCACTTTGACGGATAATGAGAACAAGATTTCCTCTCGCTCTCTGAGTCGGGCTGACAGCCGAGCAGAAAGCCTGGAGACTCTGGATTTAGTCCAGTGCGTGTGTCTGTTGTTAATGTTTAACAGCAGCGCGCATGTACTCTCCACAGCCAACTTTATGGTTGCTTGGTGTCTTTCTGTGCTCATACAGGAAGTACTTTAGCAGCCAATTCAGTTATAAAAGCAAACATCAACAGTCTACGCTAAAGTATAGGATCATATATAAAGTGTGCTTCACTAAAATCCTATATTTTTGCAAGGTATTCATTTTTCTTTACATTTGTAAGAATATAAACTACAGCCTTTTACATTCATATGATATACATGTACCACGAATCAGAGTCGCTGCATTCACTTACAAAGGGGACACACAAAAAGTTAGAAAAAAATCACAAATGCTAAATCTGTATTACAAATGGTAATTGGGTTCATAGTGGACTATTTTAATGGAATATAATAATCGTTAAAGATTGAAAATATAATATGTTTATAATAAAATATAAACAAGCTTGCAAAGTGCATTGTCACTGCAATTGGTTGCCCATTTGATTGTCAGTTAAATCCAGAAATTCACATAAATATAAATGGCCTCCAACCTCCGTATATTCTCAAATATATGCTGGCTTAAATGTAATATGTTAGATATTATTTCTAAGGGAAGGCTTGATAATATCAGTCATAACTAATAAGCACTGCTTGGGCTGTTAACCTATTTCCGGATATAAACCCAACAGAAAAAGTTTGATAATAAAAAATAATCTTTTCTATTTTACATCGTACTTCCTACAGATTATTGAATCTCTGTGCAATACCATTTTCAACAAAACAGTGTTCCTCTATTTTCTGTGACAAGTTGTCAATATACTCAAACATACACAGAATCTCTTTTGAAAGTAACCCGAAGAAGCCTGAGTGGGAACAACCTGTGGATGACACAGGATGAATTGTTGCCAGGAAGAGAGTAGTGTAGGAGAGGGGGGAGGGATAGCATGTGTGTATTCTATGCGTCATGGGGAGTATTGATGGGCGGCATGTGGGTGTGTAGGAAGATAGCAGACAGGAGAGACTCACAAAGCACTTAACGCTGCCAACAAAACATACAAACTCAATTCACCCCCACACACCGACATACAGCCAGACGCACTCGATATTTTCCATTTCTGTACGTTAAGCTACTAAAATGGAATCAGTGGAAAGGATACGTGATAATAAAATATGTTTATTAGCATGAAATGGAATAGTGCTGTACCAAGGGTTTTCATTTGAACCATCTGTTAGAATGAAGCTTTAAATGTCATCAGCCGAAAAAATGAAGAAATAAAAAAAATATATAATATTTATTTATGGTGCTGTGAGATTGGCACTTTACTGCCCAGTTTGACCACGTGAGTGCTTCGTTCCGTGCACAGCAAGCAGGTAGAGGATCATTTTTTGATGGCAGTTAAAAATGATGTTTGTGAAAGGCAAAATGCGAGCATCTATGCAATAAAGCGTTGTACTCTCTTGCATCCATCTGTTTTTTATCCGGTTTTGACGCTAAAAGTTATTGGTATTGTCCTTACCAGCCATAAATGAATATCATTCTATGAAAAAAATATAACACTAAAACTACAAATCAAGATGAATCCTAATCTGCAACTGTGCAAAAATGGTGTGTGTGTATACAGTGTGTGTGTGTACATACAGTATGTGTTACTGTGGACTTGGTTGTGACCTTGGAGGATGAAATAGTCTCGATGTGATGGCAGCTTCTCCCTGACGGAATTTTACACACGACGTGATCGCAATCTTTATATTGAGTGTGTGGGCATGCGTTGGTACATGTGTGTGTAGTTGTTAGGCAGAGGGACGCAGAAAAGAAGGGGGGGGGATGGTTGGCATGCAGGGCAATTTGGCCTCCTGTGGGAAGGATAACAGGACGTTTGAATCGAATAGGAAATCCAAAAGGAACGATATTATGATGATGTTGCGTGCTTTTGTTTATGATGATGATGGAGATAATGTTTTTTATTTTTTTTAGATAAAGATAGGATGAGGTTATGCAATACCAGTTTTGATCTGCTGCTGTATTTGTGTGTGTGTGTGTGTATATATGTTTGTGTATATGTGTGTTTAGCACTATCTAAAAGCTGTTTTGCATTAGCTGCCCACGCACACACACACACACACACACACACACACACAACCACACACACACACAACACACACACACACACACACACACACACACACACACACACACACACCGCTGATATAGGCAGAGGGATGAATGGATGGATTAGCATACAAATATAAAACGTAATGCTGGGTTTACCATTTTACACTCTGTGTTTCTTGTTCTCATATATACTTACTTCCATTGTACTTTTTAAATATGTAATGATGCTGTGCTGTCAATCAATAATCTAATTAATAATCTCTCTTCCTCCAGGTAACAACTGGCAGTTTGCATTCAGCGTCAAGTTTTACCCCCCCGACCCCTCACTGCTCACTGAAGACATTACCAGGTACACACACACACACACACACACACACACACACACACACACACACACACACACACACACACACACCCATCTTAGATATGTACCACCTTTTCCCTAAAGCTACATTAGTAGTTTCTTATGAGACAATGTAAAGAAAGAAAGGAAACTGTAAAAAACATGTATTCCCTTTTTAAGTGAATTCTTTAGCAGACAGTTCTATTTAGACGTTCAGCAGACACAGAGTTCTGTTTCCTGTCGACCTGGTGATTTTAAGTCCAACATACACTTTTTCTTTCAGCCCCTTTTATGGTCTTTACTAAATCTTTAGCTGCAGCATTCAAATGTCACTTTGAAAATGGATTATAAGGCCTATAGCAAAAGTTAAGAAAAACACAAGTTGGCATGGCGCACATTGCTAATTCATTTATATTTGAATGCACACACACAAAGCTGGGCATGCTCAGTGGTTCCATGCTTTAATGCTACAGCACCTCTTTTCACCCTCTGTCTGAAACCAGCGCCCAGTCTGCTCTGATTGGTTAGCTGGCCGACTCTGGTATGATTGGTCAACTGCTTAGAGATGTCCCGCCCCTTGGCCTATCACATACAATGTGTTTGATTGCTAGCCAAAATAAATGGCGTGTTACATAGTGATGTCACTTTGTTACCGAATAAATCTAAGGATTACAATCAAAGTGTTTCAGGCATGAGAAACTTTTGGATTTGAGCCTTTGCAGACCATTTACACACAAAACAACCTTTAAAACATACGATGGGAAAGCTGAAAACACATTTTATGGCCCCATTGAATGTCTCTTTTCACAGGGTTTGCTACAGGCTTTATTATTGTACACTATCATATTAACGAATCAATATGTTTTACACCATATTAACATGCTGGATTTAAAGTCCTGAGGCCACATATTCCTAAGTATAAAGAAGCCCTGTATTTGGATGACTGGTGTTAAAGCCTCCATATCAGCAAGTCCCGCCAAGGTGACTTTGAATGAGATTTTCAGACTCATTTACCAGCACCCTGAGGTGTCTGAATCAGTCATTCACACAGAAGCTCTATTCACATAATGAACTCTTCCACAGAGGTTCTACAGTAGGGGGGCAGCTCACAGCTCCGGACAATTCACTAACTGCACGTTACGAGTTTGGGTATGTCATGGCGAGGATTAGACGCAAGGTTATACCAACAAACCAGTGTACCAGCAAACTAAAGGAAATCCTACAACAGACATGGCACCAACAAAGACATTTAATCTGCACCGGCTGACCCCGTCTGCTCGGGCCTCACAGGAGGAAATTTGGCTGATCTTTTTTATCATTATCACGGACAATGGAGCCGGTTTGAGTCCAAAGTCTGGATTAGAGTTTTTGACTTGCCCAGCCTGATTCCCTTCTTTCCTCTCATGCAGGTACCTGTTGTGTCTGCAGCTCCGTGAAGATGTGGCTTCAGGACGACTGCCTTGCTCCTTTGTCACTCACGCTCTGCTGGGGTCGTACACACTGCAGGTACAATACATGGTGTATGTGAATACAAGTTTCCACATGTTTTCAAAGGGTTTACCTACAATCTTAAAAATCTGCTCAAAGATGGTGCTCAAACTCTGTGAATCAACACACCATAATAACATGTAATGGCTTGCCCACAACACTGACTATGACCCCAACGCCCTTCTTCTGAACTGCAAATATCATTGTATCGTTTTAGGTGTCACTAAGTATTATTTTACCATCTCCTTTTGGTTTTTCAGGCAGAAGCCGGTGACTATGAACCCGACCAGCCTCGGCCTCTGGACAACGTCGGTCAGCTGACCTTTGCGCCCAATCAGAACAAAGAGATGGAGGAGAAGATTCTTGAACTCCACAAGTCTCACAGGTCAGAGATACAGGTTGTCGAAAGTAGACCGGGACAAGGATGTATGTTTTTTTGTGTGTTATTTTAAAGCTGTACATCGTTTCCTTATTGTAGTAAATGGACCATGACTCGGTTATGTCCCTGTTCCATATGTTTGGATTTATGCTACCATACTATTGTAAATGTTTGGGTGTTTGTAGTCATTTGCCTTTTTCTGGGTGTTTAGGGGAATGACACCGGCACTAGCCGACGTCCAGTTTTTGGAAAATGCCAAGAAGCTTTCCATGTACGGGGTGGACCTGCACCATGCTAAGGTTTGAAGAAATACATGCCATCTCCTTTTCCTCCTCTCCTCCTGCTATGTTCTTTCTCTCCTTCGCTTCTCCTCCATCTCTTATCTCTTTTCCTTTTTTTTCTTACTCTCCATTTATGTTTTACTTTCTTCTCCTATCTTTTCCTCTTGATATCCTCTGACCTTCGTCCTTTTCCTCTCCTTTCCTCTTCATCTCCCATTCCTCTTCTTCCCCCCTTCTCCTCTTTTACCTCTCTTGTCCTCCTCCTTTTCTCTTCTCCTTTCACCCCTCATATTTCCTCATCATTTGCTCCTCTCATCTTCTTCTCATCTTTTTTACCTGCTTCTCTGCCTGTTCCTCTTCTCTCATTCTTCCTCTCCTCTCCTTGTCCTTTCCTCTCCTCTCCTCTCCTCTCCATTGTTGTTAACATCAGGGGAGTAGCACCATTTCTTTGATGTCGAAAGAGTGTGTCTGCATGTTCGTGTCACTGCATCTGTGTGTGAGTGTATGTGTGTGTCAGCTGTACAAACATGGAGGCCATTGCCATGGGAACAGCCAGTCTCTCTCTCACAGGGAGAGCAGGTCATCAGCAGAGTGCGTGCATGTTTCCATGTGCGTCCGAGTATTTTTGTGTCTGAAAAATGGGGGGAATATGCATGAGAAGAGAGAGAGGGGGAGACTCTGAAAATAGAAGGAGAGGATGTGAGGCGGAGGATGCAGAGGAGACAAAGACATAACATGGGGACAGATCCTTGAAAGAAAGAGGCGAGTGCCCTTTAAGAGCATGCTCCACTTGTTTGCAACACAGAGGGACAACCGGGGGGGGGGGGGGGGGGGGGAATGAGAGCAGCACAGACAGCGTTTCCAATGTTGCAAATCTTTTTTCTGGCAAAGCAAAGTTGTGGGAATTCAGGGGGCAGAGCTATTTCTGTCCTGTGTCATCAATTTGTGTTTTTGCAAGTTTCATGCCGCCAAGACCCACAGAGGAACCCTTTCAAACGCTATATGTCATACTAAATTATCAATCATATTGAAACAAACACTAATGCACTTCGATATGTTTAATTCAAATAAAAAAATAAACTGAAATTGGCACAGTTTCATTCTGAACCGGTTCAATCGCATTACGACACATCGGAAAATAACATTGCTCATCATAAAATGTGTGTTTCAACCCGATTTATTTTTCAAAATATTAGTTTTGCTGGTCCAATTGAACTCGATTTAAATGTATGAATCAGGTTGATGGGGGAATGATGAGTTGTAAATGTAAAGCGCTTTGTGAAGTCGTAAAGACTAGATAAAGCGCTGTACAAATACAATAAAAAACGTTTACCTTTATAACAATATGTTCATTAGCGAAACAAATCTTTTCACTGTCTTTATTACAGAAAATGACTGCACTGAAAACTCAAGCCATGCTATCTGCAAATATTCTTGCGTGGATGTTTCATATTTCAGTTCAGTTTTTAATACTATTTATCAATATTTATTCATTTATGTCAATTTAGATTGTTACACCATAGGCAAGTAAATATATAAAGAGTTGAGGACAGACTGTGAAGTAACTGCAGTTCTTATTTTCTCACAAAAAGCAAGTGGTCAATTTGATTTCCATTCTGTCGGTGCCAAAGTGCTAACATGTATATGTCCCATGGCAGCGATCGACGAGCCGCTGACAGCATGTGAAGGCCATGTGATGTGTTTATGTGTCTCGGTCAAACTGGCCATTATCAACTTCCTCCATTAGTCCCAACAGATTTTCCCTGTGTGCATGCACTACTGTAATCAATACCATTACCACACAGCCTTGGACTTAAAAGCTTTGTCAGTGAGTTAGTCTGTCTGTAACCATGTTAGAGTTGTACTGAATGTTGTGTGTGTGCTAATTGAGCTCCTGTTGAGCTTAAGCAGACTACTTTAAAAATCAATCTGTGTGCAGCATGATCTGATATAGACGAGCAGGCGGCACCCACACATGTTTCACAGGGATTCATGAACTATTTCATGATATTATGTGTGTTTTTGATTCCTACAGGATTCTGAGGGCGTGGACATCATGCTAGGTGTGTGCGCTAACGGACTCCTGGTTTACAAAGACAGGCTGCGGATCAACCGCTTCGCCTGGCCCAAAATCCTCAAGATTTCATACAAGAGGAACAACTTCTACATTAAGATCAGACCAGGAGAGGTGTGTGCTCAGAGACATGTTTTCTACACGACAAAATGACCTGGACCAAACACAAAAAGTGTGAAATGAAAAACCCATGTTCAGAATCAGAATACCTTTATTAGTCCCACCGAGGGGAAATGTACGTTGTTACAGCAGAAAAAGAGCCAGACAGCTTAATGTTACATAATGTTACATGCATTAAAAAGCACTAAGTTAAACAAAAGTTAGGATATACCTCGGTCAGGAGGTTGAGACACTGGGATGGCTCAGAAGATGTGGAAGAATCAACTCACTGGATGAGCACCGTTATGACGGGACCCAAACATCCTCAAAGTGTCTGTTATTTGTTCCATCTGAAAGATTTGGTGTAAACATTTCTGAAAACGAAATGTGACTAACAATCTTACATTCCAGGAGAGAAACCTAGCTGGCCCTCGGACTAAAGTCAAAACAACACAACATACTTAGATTTACTCGGCCCGACACAAAATAATTCATATCAGGGATCTGTACTGCACGAAGCGTGAGTTTCTTTTGCGGTGGATAAAATGACATCTTTTCTGTTGTACTTACATTTTAAGGGAACAAATCTAGTTCTGGAATCCCCTAAAAATAGCCTCTTTTATTATATATATATATATATATTACTTGATATAACCTCAAAATAGGCTAATTCAAAACGTACATAGCTCGATTTAAGAAAGAAGGATATCGATCACCTATTAATGTATGTTTAGAGTTCCAGTGAACTCCTGGAAAATGAAAACATAGTGCTTTACAAAGTACTCGTTAGTCTTTGAACTTCATTTTCCAATGTCTGTATTAACCCCGTTTCATGTTCCTTTGACAGACGGAGCAGTTTGAGAGCACGGTGGGATTCAAACTCCAGAATCACCGCTCTGCCAAAAGGCTGTGGAAAGTCTGTGTGGAGAATCACAGCTTCTTCAGGTACACACACACACTCTGCGACACACACACACACACACGTCCTGCGAATGCACGTGGGTTTCAGAGACTGCCTGTCTAGAGTTGAGGATATTGAAACGGCTTGTTGGGTAGCGTTCAATAAAGGAATGTGTGCTTCATCAGGCTCAACTAAAGGCTGCCTCTCCCTCCAGAAAATAAGTTCACAGCGTGTATCTCGTGGTTGTTTAACCAGTCTGATGCCCGGGGCGATGCATACACACTCATACACACACAAAAGACCAACCAGGTGCTCATCAATGTTGCGTTTGTAGTCGCCGCGAGTGTGTGTGTGTCTGTGTGTGCAGGAGAGAAGAGGGATAAGCTTTCATATCCTGTTGAAGAGTCGCCTGCAAACATGTTGTTTCCCTCTACTGCACATGTAGTCACATCACAAAACGTTTTGAAAACAAAACGATTCAGATGTATTCGTTGCTTTTTGTAAACACTCTCACTGTTGGCCCTTCCTCCTTTGACCCAGGTGTAAGCTATGGGTGGTAACCTATAAACAATTATTTTGTTCTATTTGTTTAAACTGTCTTTACACTCTGACAAAAATATTAACCGTCCAATCATGTCATCCTTCAACCTACCTGTCTGTCTACCTGCGTGTAATCTTCCCGTGCAATCATTTCTTCCCACGCTGCCAGCTTGATAGCTATGAGTACTTATATCAGCCATGTTTGTGTGTTGTCATTAATAATGATTATTTTGGGGGAGTGGCCTAAAGAGTCAGTTTTGCCAAGTTTGCAATATTTTCAACAGATTAGTTATGGGTATTTTGGGTTATTTCTAAATGTACCCTCCTCTTGCTAATCCCTCAAGATCACAATCCTTGCTTTAAGTTTCTCGCCACTTGGAAAATCTTTTGTGTGTTTTTCTCAGTCATTTTGCCAATGTTTGTGTAGTTTCCTCTACTTATGATATAGCAACAGCTTGCTGTGTTCTTATAGAGGTTTAGACCTACTTTTTTAACTAAGCAAAAGAAGAAAAATCCTGCCACACACTTCTAGTTAAGCCTTTATTAGAGAGAGATAGATATGGATGGGGGAGATAGAGGGGATCACATGTGTAAAAGGACTGCAGGCCGGATTCAAGTCTGTACATGGACATCCATCTCTACCAGTGAGCTATGTGGCAGCCGGAGAGATCATTTTTGTGACAGTCTAGTCTATACATTGTTTCTTTAGGTCTCATCCTACTGTACCTTTTTTTAAATGCACTCTCTTCTCTCCTTTTCTCCCATCCCTTCCTCCTTCTATCTCTGTCTGTCTGTAGATTGAACGCACCCGAGCCCCCTGCCAAGGCCCGCTTCTTGACCCTGGGCTCCAAGTTCCGTTACAGCGGGCGGACCCAGGCCCAGACCCGCGTGGCCAGCTCCCTCATAGACCGCCCCGAACCCTGCTTCGAACGCACCGCGTCCAAACGCAGCAGCCGCAGTCTGGATGGAGGTAACAGAAACATGGCATTACAGCTTCCCTCTGAACTATTTAAATGAATGGACATACACACGAAAAAGATTTAGTGGAAGGAATGACAGGCAGATGGAAGTGGGGGCGTGTATGGTGGGTTTGATGTGTGTGTGTGTGTGTGTTTCTGTGTGTGTTTTGATGTAAAACGCTAGTGTCTGACCAGATACAGGAAATAGCTGCAGCATATGTTTCCTGTCACACGGTGAGAGACAGAGGGGCGAGAGAAAGAGATGGAAAGAAAGAATGTTTTGTGTATCTTTTAAAGGGAAACAAAAAATAAAAAATGAAAGAAATAGAGCATGAAGTCACTCAGATAACATACATGTCATGGTGGAGAGAGAAAGCTTGCTAAGCAGTGATAACATTTAATAATGCACATAGATGAACACCTGAATAAGATCGTTGCTGATTAAATATTTAAATGATTCATATCAAATACATATTTGAATGTCTTTGGTTGAAGGTGCACTGTTTCTTAGTTATTTGTTTGGCCTATAGAGCCCACTTGATGCAGCTGTGCACTGCTGTATCACATCTGTGCGGTTACTTAACGATCTTACATCGCCCCCTACTGGACAGATTATTCTATTGCAAGCCAACATCTTTCTTATTGTTCTTTATAAATCAAATGAAGTATTTTTTTCTATACCAAATATCTACTTTGTACAATGCTCAATTACACTCTTGTTTAGAAATAAAAAACGTTGTTCCAGGTGTAAAACAAACCAGTGATCTTGATCTGAACAAGTACTTCCAGCAGCTGCCAGTGGATAAGGGTTAAATAATGAAGTTAAATAATCACGGTTTTTTCTTGTTTCTCATTTTTTAGCACCAATGATCAGCATTACTGAAGCCACATCTGAGAATGGACGTGATCCCCACCTGGATCTCCACTCAGACTCTAAGGTGTGTGTGTGTGTGTGTGAGAGAGGGTGTGTGATGATTTCATCCTGTGTAGATATGCATTTCCGTGTGTCGAAAAAGAAAGAATGAGAAAAACGTATTTATTAATGTTTTTACAGCAAGTCATGTTTCCTTGTTGTCATTATACTATAGATGGGGGGCTGTATCCCCCCCGGGAACTGTTAATATGTTTACAGAGAGAGACATTTCATGTCTGTGGGTGATGGGAAAACCCCATGTCTCTAGATGGGACCCTTTTTTTGCTTATCCTAGTGTTTATAGAAGAATCCTGATACATGTAGCTTCCAAGAGTGTGTTCAAATCAACATTATATTAGAGGTTTCTAACAGATTTTCTAAAATCTCTTTGTTTTACATTATAATGTAAACTGTACCAAAACAAACCCAGAAAAAGTAGCAAAAGAAACACCTTAATGTGTATTTTGAAGTTTTTCTATCCAATAGTCGCAAAATGCTCTCATTGTTCTCCAAATGTAACAATGTGTTGCCTGTAGGGTCTCCCTTTATGCTGTAAACATTTTAGCGAGAGAAATCGGCAACACAGACCAACAACACCAATCTTCCCAGATAAATATGATCATCTTCATTTGGATGTTAACCTCATTTGACAGCAGTTATTCTAGGCAGGTGAACACCACGTTGACATGTTCTAGAGTTAATAACTGAGGGATGTTCTGTACCTCAACAGGGATTTATGCCCACTACTTGGTACATACAGTATAAAGTGTATATATTATGCATGCGTCCTGTTCCAACCCCTCCCCCCTCTTTCCCTTTCCTCCCTGCTCTCACCCGGCACTGTGGAGCTGACCTCTCTTAGCCTTTTTCCAGTAGTGCCAATGTTTGTGCACACTGTTCTCCGCCCTGCTATGTTCACTTGAACCTGTTCTTGGTGTTCACTGACTAATGTTATGTCTCTTTCCCTCTCTCTTTTTTCAATCACACCCTTTCTTTTGTTTATTTCACTTTCCCTTTGCATGCTGTCATTGATGTCATTTCATGATACAATGAAATGATGTTCTGAACATGCGTTGGTTGCTTTGGTTGAACTTCTTCACTGCTTGCTGATGCACTCTGGATGTGTGTGCACTGCTCCACTGTTTCCTCTTCTTCCCTTTCTTTCTTCCTCTCCCTCTTCTCTCCTGCAATCCGCCCCCATCAGTCCATCTTCATGTTCCCTCTCTCTTTCTCCTCGTCATCCTCCCTCTCCTCCCTCCCCCCTTCCCTCGACACCATCTCCGAGTTCGACCGCGGCCTTTCCGACATTTCCGAAGACGACGACCTTACCGACGACCTCACAGCGTCTCACTCGCTGTGGGCTCTCCCCTCGAACACCTTCTCTCTTTTCTCCGATCAACAGTCTGCCGATTTCGCGCTAAACCCTCCGGCCTCCCCTAGAAGCTCCCAAACAATCGTTTCCTGCGTTGAGGAAGGCTGTGTGGCTGAAACTAAACTTTCGTTTACAAATTGGTGCAGCTGGTTCTCCCTCAGGGGTGTCGTTAAATATGTCTCTTTCGTCCTGTGTTTTCTCTCCATCGAGGGGAAAAACGGCAACAGGTTTCTGCCCAAAAAGCTCATTTCAGGATTAAACGAAGGAAAATACGCTTTTTAACCCTAAAGCTCACTCCTAGAGATATCGTCACTCCCAGTTTACGCCAAATTCGTAATGGCTTGGCTCTAAATTGGACCACTTTCTGGGCGTTTCTAACAAGCTATCTGCCGGCTAAAGCTACTAGCTTGGTTCCAGCTGTTCTTTGGCGGCCAAAACGACTGCACCTGCCCTCCATTTCTTCTCTTTCCTGTCCTCCAATTGCCTCTTCCTTATCCTCCCTCCCCGCGCTTTCCTCTCTTCCCTCTTATTTATTTTCTGTTCCATCTCTTTCCTCCTTCTCCCGCTCCAATGTATCCCCGTCCATCCATCGCTACCTCCTAAATCCTTCCCCTCTCTTGTTGCCCTGCCTGCTCGTCGTCTTCCTGTTGGTCGTGATGCTAACAGCGAGCCAGTCTTTAGTCCTAGCCTTAGTTTTAGCCACACCCCTCGGCCTGACCCTGTGTTACCTGGAGAACCTTGTGTCCAGTCAGCGAAAGGCAGTTTTGCCAACTTTTAAACCCTGAAACGGCAAACGATCAGTCCGAGCATCCGCTAAGCTTTCCTCTCACGCCGACACACACACCTCCGCGCATCAGGCACCACACGAGCGCTACAAGGACGCAAGAGATGTGCGATCCCGCCGCATAGATGAACAGAAACCCCCCGACAAATCCTTTCCCCTCTCCGTTTACATCCTCTATTTATAAATGTTTAAACTCTTATCTCTACAATCATTCTTTCCCTGAATATTTTCTTATGGCTTACCATCCCTGCACCCCGCCACTGTATTGTTTATAATAAAGATTAGAACCAGTTATATTAAACAAAGTATAAAACTCAGAGTTTATAAAGGATAAACAATGTTAAAGTATATATAAGGAATAAAGTAGAGAAGAGTTATAGGCTTATTAAGTTATCTAAAAACTGTACAGAGACTTTTAGGGATGCACAAAACACACTTTACGAGTTATTTCAAATGCTTAACGTGTTTCAGATATTTTAAAAATAGTCATTATACATCCCCTATGTGTTTGACACGCAGCATATTAATGTCACGCTCTTCAAATAAAGCAACATCGTGGTGTAAATTGGTATGATGCAAGATAATCAAGCGAGAAACGTGTTTTATTTTTGACTACATTTGCTGCATTCTGCCTTTGTAGAATACATGATATAACTGTACATACAGTTCGTTACAGTACTACATCAAGGCGGAGCACTTAAAGCTTATTCATTTATATATTATTGCGAATAAATGTTAAGAGTAAACAGTGTTGCACTCGCCCTGATCCCTAAGGTCCCTCTCTAACCCCCATACGTTGTTCGCTTAGTTTTAAGTCAAAAATGTAATGGCATTTTCATGGTGGCCTTTTGTCTTTTTCCTGCTCGATAAAGCTGTAGATGCAGATAAAAGGGATACATTATCATAAGACAGTTCTAAATAATATCAGAATAGTTCTATAATTGTCCTGTTTGTGTCATAAATACACATACTATCTCTAAAGTATTATACTTACGATAACTGTACTACAAAGAAAAAGGTTTAGGAAAAAGCTGAACTTTGTGTCATGTATGACGGACTGTGAATCTTTTTTGTATTATGCAATGAGGAAATCCATTTATTGACCATCTCAGACTTTTTTTATGTTACTGGGGCAAAGGTCACATGACCTCCCTACGGCTGCTAAAGGGAAGAAACGTTTCCCATCATCCATTTCACCTTTTGCTTTCTCCGTGCCCCATTACCCTGCTCATTGTCTCATGACTGCCGTTCGCCGCAACATTAAAGGTTATGGAGGTGGACTTAAGCCCTGGTGATGCGGAAGCCACGCCCACCCAGGTCTGTAGGGTCCGACTTTACCCAGCATGCTTTCCAAAATATCGAGAATTAATCATAGGAATGAATTACTAAGGAGTATTGTAAAGGTGGTTATAGTGTAACCTGTCCTTCCTCTCTCCCTTACTTCACCCCATCAACAGTCACTGGGAGCCAGTGAGCCCGCCCCCTCTCAGGTTCACACATTATTATTGGTTGTTTGATTCTTTTGGTCTGTCAATCAGCCCAGCACACATCGGTTTGGTTCACGCCTCTTTTACGGTGATCGAACACGATCATACAGTCAGTTTTTTTATTTCTCGACCCAATCTGGAATTTGTACCGAATAAATATCTAAGTAACATTGACTACCGATGATATAAAGTTATAAATATGTTTGAGATAAGACCCTTTGTTTCCAGATTGGGTCTGAGTGTAAACACTGAACCTGAGTGGGTACTTTTTACCCAGAAATCCTCACTTTCAGTTGCTCTGCTGTGGGTTTTTGGTTTCCACTTTCTGTTTGGTTGCTGGTTCATATTTGTGGTTTGTTATGTTTTGGGGTTTTCCTGAAAGCACGGTTGTGTGGGTTTCTACACATGTCTGTTGGTGTTGTTTTGGATTTTGCATGAGTCAACATGGGTACGAGTGCGAGCATAATGACATTCAATGAACCCTAAAATGTTGTTAATTTGTGCTTGTACCCACCTTCCAGCCTTCATCACAGTTTGTGACATGTTGGCTGTCACCGCATTTTATTTGTATTATTCAATTTTTTTGTTGTATACTTCATTTATATATTTAGTATTATGATTTATTTTTTGTTTTCTTATTAATTTTATTTACTTTTTTTTTTATTACAGATTTTCTTATTTCTATAGAGTTAAAACAAAATGCATTTTTTTTAATACATTTTTCCATTTATTATTTCTTGCTGTATGTCTGCCTTCCAGAGTCCAAACAGAGTGCATGGGGACAATATTTATGTGAGGCACAGTAATTTAATGTTGGAGGTTGGTACTGGCGTCGCCTGATGGCCGAATATAAGAACTACATGTTTCTGTGTACTCTGACGCCATCAGAACTACAAATCCCTCTGTGCTGTACTACACTGTACAGGACTGCTGCCCTCTCGCACTCTCAGGCTCTGTTGCATGCCTGCGTGTGTTTATGTGTGTGGAAGTGTACACTCAATGCCAGCTATTTCCTGTTGTTGTGGTATGATTGAAATAGTTTTGGTTTAAAGTGGTTTCAGTGCTCACCGTCCTAATTCACATGGCAGCCTTTCTGAACACATGGGCCTGGAAACATTGTTATAAATTATATATCAAAAGAATGTCACTTAAAGCTGTACTAATCATTATTTTTAGACTCTAGCCAGATTTTTTACTAAAGTTTTGAGGGAGACATTTTTGTATTCAATTAGACTGTTTTATATATATATTATTGATTCCTAATTGGCAGCATGTAAACAAGGCATTGCATGTAAGTAAAACATATAATAAAACATCTACAGAATACACAATATAAAATGTATACAATAAGTCGGAATCCACTGTAATCAACCTACTATGAACAAATGTATTGATTATATATTGTATTGAGCTTGAGTGGCCAGAAACACAGATATAATGAAAGCTAATGTAGCACGTTAGCCATATCAGCCATTCAAGCTCGAACAAATCTTAAGAAATCCATATAAACAATATTTTCTGCCAACTCCCCACACTGATGTTTTGGACAGAAATCGGTGAAGCAAAGGCATTTCCAGTGTTTCATCTGAAATGCCAAATATGTATTTGATGTGTATCTTTCCACACAACAGTACAGTCCTTCTCCTCCAGGACATTTCCCAAGCTGTTCACAATGGCTGCTCTGTGTGTGGGGTCGGCGTTGTGTGAACGTGACTCTATGCATGCTCCCTGCATGTTTTGTGAGCTTTGTTTTTATCTTGTTCCAATCCTCGATTGTTCAAAGAGTTTGATTATTGCCAGGCAGCTGCGACTAACCCCGACTAACCCTGCTGCCTCGCTAACAACACGAGGCGCTTTCCTCCTGTTTCTGGTGATTGGTTGCCAGCGTTGTGTGATGCTTGGTTTGATAACATACTAAAACAACAACAATACTTTTTGTATGCAACGTGGGACTGATAGTGATAGTGATATTCTAAGCTGAGGGGTTGAAAGAGAGACTCATATACGGTATAAAGAGAACAAGTTAGTTTCAAGAAGAAAAATCTCCTTCATTTTTGGTCCAATCAGTCAACTTATAAAGCGACAAAAACGGCACATTTTCAACGGTTTCTAATTGTATCTGTGATCTCTGACAGAAAGACAGACAATATAAGAGAGAGGAAAAAGAAAATAACCATATTAATAAATGAGAATGTGCTTAATTACTAAATATGGATAAAGAGTCAGATGGGAGTGCCGTGAAGGAGAAAGAAATAGTGCAGTTTCATCACCACTATCAGCTCCATGCTCTGCAGCCTGCACTGCTGTCCCTGGCCTGAGAACGATGGAGAGGCCCTGTTTCACTGCAGCCTGCTTATTTCAATCCACATTCACACATATTATAGAGAGAGAAAATGCATGATTTAAGATTGAACAGCAAACAAGGCTCCAGTGAGGCATGGCATCCATGTCCTCCTCCTCCTGATTGACAGACTGATGTTCCTATGACCTGTTGAACCAAATGTCCCCCTCCCCCATCCCTCTCTTGTTTAATCCTTCCCTCCTTCCTCCCCCTTTTCCTTCTTCCTCCTACCCTTACATTTGTTTTGTTGTATTAATTCCTTCCTTCTTTTCTTTTAAAACCTTTTTGTACTTCCACCTTTACTTATCATACTCTTTGTTGTCATTTTTCTTCTCTCTATTTCGTTTCTCTTCCATCACCCTTTCCCCTCATCTTTCCCATGATCCTCCACTCCCCACCTCTATCCCACATTCCAAAATGTTATCTTTTCTCCCCTACCATCCATACTCATCCTATTTACTCTCCACTCTTGTACCCCGCCCTCCTGTCCTCCTCCCCCTCTCCTCATTAGGACCATGATAAGACCACGGACGAGGTTCTGAAACACCAAGCTAGCATTAGCCAGCTAAAGCGCTCCTTTATGGAGGCGCCACCTCCCTCTCCTCCTCAGCCCAACCAGTGGGAGAAACGTCTCACCTCCTCCCCCGCTCCAACGATACGTATTCAGCAGCAACAGCAAGTGGTACGTCTGTCTGGGTGTGTCTGTCCGAGAGGAAGCATGGGGCATTTTTACTTTCAAACGTTTGTCTGGTGGAAGGTTTTCGTTGCAGACAGTTGCAGTGCTGCAAAACTGTTGCAAAGAAACAACAAAGTCAGTTTCTTGAGTCTTAAGTGGGCATTTTCATTTGATGCTTTTGCTTTGTTGTGGTTTTCATCACCTGTTTTTACCTCATTCTCCACTTGATGCACTATATGGGTTTCTTCTTCTCTCGAGGAACTCTCGCTTTGCTCCATTTCTTTATTTTCTTTTTCAGCTGGACTCACGTTTTACATCTTATTCCTGAAGTACAACTGTTTTATTTTGTCAATGATGTGATATTCTCCTGGTATCCGCTCTCTTAATCTGTTCTGCTTGATATAATCAGTATTAGAGGCGGAGGTGTGAAGCATGGCTCTTTGTGTTCCTTTATTTCTTCTCTGTCTCCTCTCAAAAGTTTCTTCTCTTCTTCTCTACGTTCTGTGTGTTGCTGTAGAGTCTCGAGGAGGAGATAGCTTCTGTACTCCTCAGTAGACACTCTGGCTATTGTTCAGCTCCTCCTGCCTGCTGTCCACCTGAACCGACTCTAGATGCTGATATAACCCCAGGCTCTACTTCCACACTCGCTGCCACTGAGGTGCTGCTACCTTTAGGAGTCACTCTACTTTCAGTTCAGTCGATGAAAGTAAATCCATCTAACTCTAGATGCTTGCAAGATGTGTTCATCAAACACTAAATACATGCAAGCTGTCCATATCGCCTGCTGTGGATGGTGGATGAATGATTTGTAACAGAGACCATTCATCCTGAATAATAGGCATGGTAAATCTATTATAAAGTAAATAACAGATGATGGGACATCCCCTGTTTGTTTTGTTGTGGTACTTCTGTTTGTGGATTGAATGCAAATCCGCTCCATTTAAATATAAATATCTTCTTTACCAGCTACTTTAGGAACAACAGGTTTATTTTTTATACTTTTTGCTACAAAATCAGCAAGTATTGAAGCAGTAGTTTGCACCAAGTTTAAAATAAATCAAATTAGATTCACAGTGTTTTCCTTTTTTTACATATGCTTTTAAAATGGCACACAAAACCGCTTACATTACATGTAACATCGGTTGAATAAAAGATTAAAAAAGTACAAAAAATATAAAACGACATGGACAAACTGATGATGGCATGAACAGAAACAATGTCCATGATTTGAACTAAATTCATTTAAGTATCCCAGGTTTTCTATGGTCATTCATCTCAGAGAAACTGCTGACTTCAATACAAGGCTCTTTTATCTTTCAAATTGATAGGATATTCTCTTTAAACCTATCAGGGATCTTCTTATCTTCTCCTCATCTTAAACTCTTTTCATCCCGGCTGCCTGCAACCCGATTCCTCATCGATTGATCCCTTTGCATGAAAGATGGAGAATCCAACTAACATATTCAACCCTTTTTCCCTTGTGCAAGCATCGCTATAGAGTGCCACAGTGACGCGTCCTAAAACCCGGATGTAAACTCCTTCCGGTTCTTTCGTCAAAAACGCAATGCAATTTCTCCATAGGATTTTGGAAAATAGCTGGAAATAAGGTCTGTGGTTGACACACATTTAAGAGACGGATCACGTTTTGTTCAGCCGGATAATATCCACATGTCTATCCTACTTTTATAATTTTCTAATCGTAAATCTAATCGCCAGAAGCAAAATGCTAACGTTATGCTATAAACGAACTACAGCAGGGTCGCTGCTTCAACGTCACGCCAACTTAAGATCCATATTCAAAAATACAGATTGTAAATGGAACAAGTTGAAGCGTTTGTTTGAACAGTTTGAAGGAGGCAAGTACTTGCTTTCAAGCAGAACAGGGCAAACAAACTTAGCGGGAGTGTTTACGTGTTCGGTGTAATGACGTACAACGGCCTCGACAATTTCTGTAGTCCTATTCAGCCACTTGTTAACAACCATCGTTTTTCAGACACGTAAACTCTTCAGAAATTACCAGCGGGGTCACTGCTGATGTATTTAATGTCGTAGAACAAAACGTGATCTGTCTCTTCAATTTGTGTCAAACACAGACCTTATTTCCAGCTATTTTCCAAAATCCTATGGAGAAATTGCATTCAGGGTTCTTACGGTCATTAAAAACCTGGAAAAGTCATTGAAATTCAAAATGCTAATTCCAGGCCCTGGAAAAGTTATGGAAAACAATATGTTCCCCAACATTTTGGAAAAGTCATGGAAATGTAACTAAAGTTGCATCAAATATAGTTTATATTTTATCTAATCGCCAAAATATAATACTATAATGATAATAAATACTGTATAGTAATGAAACGTAAAATGGCATTTAACTGTCGAGGTATTTTGCTGGTGAGAGATTTGAGTTGCTTTAGCGTGTAGAAGCTAGTAAGCCTACTATTTGATTTGTTTTAGACACAACATGTTTCAGACCTTATTTTCCTGTTCCATGTTCAAATAAACCATTTTCAGTGGTACTGCTGAGAAAGAGTCATTTTTTTTTGGTCATGGAAAATTAGGTAAAGGTCATGGAGAAGTCATTGGTGAAAAAGTGTATGAACCCTGTGCATTGCTTTTTGTCGAAGGAAGTGGTAAAATGCTAACTTACTTCTGGGTTTTAGGACGCGTCACTGTGGCACTCTATACGGCTAAGTTACAAATTCTATGCTTTGTCACGGTCAGTGTGTGTGATTGATGGTTGTCATGGTAACTTTCTGTCACGCAGGAGAGCGCGCCCCAACTGGAAGATGTCCCCGCCGCAGAAAACTTGATCTCTGAAACCAAAGAACCTGCAAAGGTGGTCCTAAATGAACTTGTATTAATCCATCCAGCCTTCCATTCACGATCCTTTTCCTCCATTTCCTCCTGGCAGCTTGAAATGCTGCCTCTACAATCATCAATTTATGACTTTTCATTTGTCTTCATATCTGTTCCGCTCACTGTCTTTGTGTCTCTTTATCCACAGTTGAACATCTTCATCTTCTTTTATTTCCGTTGTGTATTATTTATCTTTTTATTTATGTTCAATGATCTTGTTATGCTTATTTTATTTTTGTGTCCCCATGCGTTTGTTGTGTATGTGTGTGCACTTCCATTGCGTGTGTCCGTGCACTTCGTGTACGTGTGTGTGTGTGTGTGTGTGTGTATGCATGTGTATAGACGGCCGAAGTTGAAATCGAAGAAACCGTTGTCGTCCAAGAGGTTTCCATAGCGCCCAAACCTGGACTCGTCTCGGTTACGAGCCCACAGGAAGTGACGGCGGAAAAGGAAGTAGTTGTAACGGTGGAAACGAAAGAGGCGAAGCAGGAGAGCGTTTCATCGGAAAGTGAGAGCGAGGAAGAAGCGGAGTACCATCCGAATGTTTCTGTGTCTATCTGCCACACACAAATACCAGAGGAGGAAGAGGAGGAGGAGGAAGAGAAGGAGGAGGAAAAGGGTGTGTCGGTTCCAGATGCTCCCTCCCTTCCCGCTGAAGTAGAAGAAGAGGAGATCGAGAAGAAGAAGAATGTAGAGAAGGAAGTAGAAGCTAAGAGCAACTATGATCCAATCACAACACAGGCTACAAACGGTCACACCCTGCCGAAGGAAAGTGGTCTCGCCCCGGAAGAAGAAGAGGAGGAAGAGGAAGAGCTGAAAATGAACGGAGAAGCCTCTGTGGTGGAAGCAGAACCCCGGCCGCAGGTTATTTGTTGCTCCGAGGTAAAGTCTTCACTTTGCTGACTGCAGAGCCCCCCCCCCTCTGGGCTTTCATCCATCCTACCAGCCGTAGAAACACCTGCCATATTCTCTCCTTCCTGCTTTCCACAGTGCCGGTTTCCTTCCTGCTTTTGCGTGAATATTAAAGCCCCATGTACATCCTTACACTTCCTGTTTGTCCTATAGAGTTACAACCGACTGAGGAGTGTTTTTGTTGTGCGTTGGTGTCAAGTTACCATCCACTACACCGTTAATTTCAGTCTTTATGTGGATTTCCCATATTCATATAAGTTCTGTGACATCATCATACTCCACATCATCATCAACATTATCATAGTGTGGTGTTACTTCCTCCTTCGTTGTAGTTGTTAGTGTTGTGAAGTAAATGGGGCCTGCATGATGCTTTTAGGTGTACACTTGCTGTTTTTGCTCTGCATGCCGTATTCCACTTTTTGGTGTGTGTGTACTTGTGTGTGACCTCCACGTGTTTTGGCAGTGATGCTTCTCTCCCTCTGAGTGTTTAATTGCCTCGTCACGGTCACCATGGTAACGCTATTGTGGAAATCATCATTGCCAACCACTCAGGAAATGCCACCCGCTCATCTGAATGTCTTTTTTTGCATGCCGTCGAAACATCAATTTGCCCGTCTTGTTATATTAGCATGGCTTTTTTTAAATGGATTTCTCTTACCGGCTCGTGTTTTATGCATGTTTGTGCCGTGTCGTACTTTTGAGTCGAAGCCAAATATGTTGTCGTAGTTGTGTGCTGCTGTTGTAGCTGTCGCCTGTGCATTGCTGGAAATAGTCGTTGTCGTATTCTGCGTTTTGTTGTGGTGTTGTCGCACGAGATTGAAAAAACTTGCATGAGTTTTGCTGCATTGACTCAAATGTTTTATGCAACTACTGCTATATGTACCACTGGACAACTGAATTACTTCCCTTTCAGTACAATAAGTACTTTATTTGACATTAACAAATCACTCATTTACACTTTTACGATATTTTACCAAAAAAAACCTCAAACATTGATTTGGAAGTGATTTCCTAAGCTAGTGCTAGTACATGTGTCTTTATGTCTCCTTAACTGTCTCAGTATTAATTGACCCTCTTTGTATTAACTCCTCCCTCACTTCTCTCTCGTCCCTCCCTAGCCACCTGTGGTAAAGACAGAAATGGTGACTATATCAGACACGTTTGCAGCCCAGAAAACTGAGATAGCTACAAAAGAAGTTCCCATCGTACACACGGAAACCAAGACCATCACATACGAAGCCGCACAGGTGCACATTTAAGAAACACAAGGGAGTTTTTGTGTTTATTTTTGTCAGTATTCTTGTATTTGTGTGAAATTGTATCATTATTTAAATGTTTTGTTTTAAAAAGTACGTCCCAAAAAGCTTCCTTCCTAGAAACAATGCATGCTGTGGTTATTTCACTTCTTCTTCCTCAGGGAAATCATGTTTTAGTTTGTAACAAAACTTTCTTTGGAGCAACAGGGATATTCTGTTGAAGTTCAGCTAATGATCTCTTTTTGTCTCCTCTGTTATCAGTTGGATGGTAACGGCGATGGTGAGCCCGGTGTGCTGATGACAGCTCAGACAATCACCTCTGAATCTCTGTGTACTACTACAACCACACACATTACCAAGGTACACACACATACACAATTATTCTTACGCCTATGTGTTTTTCTGTCTCTTTGCTATGGAAGGTAAGCAAGAGCGGAAAAAAAAAAAAAGTTCTCCCCCATGCTTAAGACCTCAGAACAGTTGGAAAAAAATAGGATAATTTAACAGTTTTCTTTTCTCTTTTTTATTTCATTTTAAAAACAGATGGGAAAACATGTTTTGGCAGGTGTTTTCTTTGTTGTTTTCAGGATCAAGTGTTTGTTGTTGTAATACTAATTTCATTCATTGTACAACAGTGTACAACAATCCTATCTTCTAATTTAGACTAAAAGCATTGTCTTACTGGTATTTTTTAATTGAAATAGCTTTCCAACCCACTAATATATACGGAATAGCAATGAAAAACTACTTTAAAATGTATGCTTTTATTCCTATTTAAAAACAATTGGTTGTGGTAGACTTTTATCTCTTGTGGCCAAAATAAGTATTGCAACAACAAACACTTTTTTTGGATGAAAACAACGTAACCTCAAAAGATTATCCTTGCAAAATCTCTTTTACCTTATTTTGAAGTCCCAGTTTTTCATAAACACAGAAATGTATTTAGACTCAGACTCGTGCGCCTCTCAGGGCTTCCATAGATTTGACCTGTTATATCCCCCAGGGGGGGATTAATCAATTTGACCAAACATCAAAGCCTTATTGTTGTTGTGTATTTTGTTGCAGATGTTAAAGGGCGGCTTATCAGAGACGAGAATTGAGAAACGCATCGTCATCACTGGAGACTGTGACATCGACCACGACCAGGTTAGTGTTCCAGTCGCGAAACCCAATCTCGTTTCTTTACTAAGTCAGCTAAATCTTTCTGTTAAATCAACAAAGAGAGGTCTGGTGACATGTCCATCATGTTGCTCATAGTCTGGATGCTAAATTAGATTTATAAATCGCATAACAGAGACGCCGACATGCAATTATCCGCTACATCCTTCTCATCACGTATTCATCCATACTGCTGGACAATGGCCACCCCATGTCTGATTGTGTTGCTCGTTTGTGTCTTTGTCTAAGATTGTCAGATTATAACGTTTTTTGTTGCCCTAGATTTAATAAATACAGAACACCTGTGTACAAAGTCCTGTTGGATTTTAAATAACAGATCATTATGAGCTTAGAGTGAATTCCCCTAATAATAACCAACTATTAGTCCCTTTGTCACCGAATTGTAAGTATAAAATGGGCGAAAGCTCCTGCAATGTTCATTCAATATAAGGGGAAACAAGATGTTACACTGTCCCTGTACACCAGGGGTGGGGAACCTTTTTCCTCTCAAGGGCCATTTACATTTTTACAATATCCTCCGAGGGCCGTATACAAGTTATTGACCTCTGCTTAAAAATACTAAAATCACAGATTAATTTGGCCTTTCTTTCATGCTGTGCAAAGAAAAACAACCTCTTAATCCAGATATTTTACCATGACTCGCGCACGCATGCATGCACGTGCACGGTTGTGGCATGACCACCCAAACAGAAAGATATGGACACAAGATGTGTGCAAAAGTATTTAGTTTCCTATCCATGTGGACATGATTTAAATGGGGGTGGGGGGGAGGTCTAGATTTCTCACATTTTTTTCTTTTTTGCTTGTGTTTATAAATTACCTCGAGGGCTGCACCAAATTGTCTCGCGGGCCGGAGGTTCCCCACCCCTGCTGTACACAATGACCTTCTCATTTAGGAAAAAGAAGATTGATAAACCCTGCCCTAAGTTAGTTTAAAGACCCAATCAAATATACAATGTCAACATATATCTCGAATATTTGACAAAACATTTTTATTTAGCTCAGGTCTGGATCTTTATGCATGATCCCTCATCCACTGCTTTGTTTAAGTTGCCTGTTTCATTTGAGACGCTGGATTTACATTTATTTTTTATTGGAAATAAGATACAAAAGTATTTTATTTCCACTTGATGTGTCCAAAGCCATTTTACTTCAACTCGAAGAAGTGAAATAGCGCATCGATCGTAAATCCAGCATTCTTGTCCTTTTTCTTTATGCTTGTTATTTAACTTTTCATTTAACTCATTTTTTACACCCTTCCCTCCTCCTCCCCTCCCCCCATCACCTCCTCCACTGCACGCCCTGCTCGGTGCTGCCTCTGTGTGGTTACCCCTTGGTACTGCAGGCACTGGCCCAGGCCATTAAGGAGGCCAAAGAGCAGCATCCTGACATGTCTGTTACCAGAGTGGTGGTTCATAAAGAAACTGAGCTGGCTGAGGAGGAGGATTGACTGAACGCAGGTAATAATAATAATAGTAAGGCATTATTATTATTATTATTATTATTATTCACGGTGAAAGTGCTGGAGGTCTTTGTTGCTCGAAAATGTTGAACTTTCCATTTATATCAGGAATGAAAAAAGTATATATTTTGTTCTGTTCTCACCTGTTTTCGCTGCACCTTGGTCATTCAAATCTAACAAAAAGGGTTTTTTACTTAAAGGTGACCTATCATGCAAAATGCACTCTTGTACGTCTTTTATACATGAATATGTGTCCCCGGTGTTCCAGGGAACTCACCAAGTGTCAGAAAACACAACCCTCTCTCTTTTCCTCCATACCCAAATCTCTAAAAACGGGGCTGCAACGGATCTGATACAGACTGATCCAGATTTGAATTATTTTCTATGTCACAGAAGTGGTGCTCCGCCTATATGGCCAACTCTCCACCTATCAGGGGAATGTGGGGTTGGGCCACCGCCGGCCATTGCCTCTCGAAAGAGCTGGAGACGCTGTAGTACATATGCCAGGCCTGTAAGTGGCGCTGTAGTCTGCCACAAAAGCAGCAAAGAAGACTTCCCTCGCATGGTTGCCATGGTTGCCCTTCTGTTTATTCTCCGCTGTGGCTCTTTTTCTCCCTCCCCGAGGCAAGCGTTTGCTCCTGCTGCTGTTATTCAATGCAATCCCTCCCTCGCTGTAAATCTCTCCGGTTAGTTCACCCGGGATTTGACAAACACCCACCTTTCCGCCTCTTCCAAGGAACGAGGGGACCGTGCGGCAGAGTTTCAGTTCGATCTTTTTTCGCCGGTCAACATGTCCGTTAAAGTTGAAATCTTCCAGACACAATTAGAAAAGTGCCGGTCTTCTTTGTTATTTATTGAGCTTTAAAACAAATGAATGATGACTCTATATAATCATATATAAGAATAAAACACGGAGGAATATAAAAAAATATATATATACTTTATATAGGTATGGCCCTACAATATATTGTTCAAATATAGCATGATAGGTCACCTTTAAAATAATTAAGCTTATTTGAAGCAAATGTACTTTCAGGATTTTATGTATCTTTACTGTTGAATGCACCTGCTGTAAGTCACTTTGGTTAAACGCATCTATTTACAAAACACGTGAGAATTAAATATTGAAACATGTGAAATAATAAATTAATAAAAATATGAATAGAGAAATGAAGGGGAAAGAGAAAAAAGATTACAAAAAATGCTAATTAATCATTTATAAATGATTAATACAAATATGTCACCTAAATACAATGTAATCTTAGCAGTGGGGTGCATAAAGTGGTTGATTTACGAAAGCTGAAGGAACAAATAATCCCACACATGAAGCTGCTAAAGCCATCATGAAAAAAGAAAAAGGAATATTACATTTAAGGAAGGTAGGCAGTGACTGATGGAGCACAAAGGAAATATTTTGAGTAGGAAAACTGATGTTGAATGCCATCATCCCACCACCCCGGCTCACTGCCCCCCCCTCTGTGTTCCCAGAGCTGAAGGACCCATCGTGACTGTTTCCTCCGCTGACGTCGAGCGACCTTCATCACCCTACGACAACCCTGACTGACTGAAGAGGAGGAGGAGGAGGAGGAGGAGGAGAGCTGGAGAAACAGAAAGGAGACAAACGGAGAGAAGTCGCTCACTTCTTCCCTGTCCATCGTTCTTACATTTCTGTGGTGCATCTGAATCCCTCACTCCCAAAACGAGAAAAAACAAAAAAATGACATCTTTCGAGGGAACAAAAAAAAGAACCACTTTGTTAGCTTAACATTTGTAGCGTGTTTTAATTTTTTTTAATAGTGTTTTTTTCTTTTAACTGTTTTACAAAAAGAGAGGTAGTGTGTCTGTCATGTATTTCAAACTCAAAAACTGAAGGGATGCACCGATAACCAAAAAATGAGTCAACGCATTGATTATTTCTCTAAAGTCAAAGTATGTTTTCCAGTTTTTTTCAGATGTAGAGGTACTGACAATCACAAATATCTTTATCATTTTTTTTATAAAAAGGAATAAATATGACGCTAAAGCTTTGTACTTTTTTTACTGTATCAGCAGTGGAAAAGTGGAATTGGTGCATTCCTTAGAAAAAAGTTAAAAAAAGTTCTGTTTTAAATTACAGCTCCCTCCCTCACTGACTGTGGTGTAAATGGAGAAGAACACAATGTAACAAAGTACTTAAATATTTAACAATAACAAGTAAGAACTGCTCGTTTGTTAACAAAATGAAACAGTCTTACTCATAAAATCCCTTTCACAGTCAAATGAAGAACCAGGCGTGTCACGTTATCACATTTTATCACTAACAATTAAAAAGAAAAAAGTAGGGAGCTGTAACTTAATCTATCGCAGTAAAAACAAATCAACAACGTTTTGTTTCAAATGTTTATGATTGTGTCTTTTTTTTCTGTAAGTATAGTTGTTATTCATCCACATTCCTTGTGTGTTGGCTGGCTGCTGAGTGAGTTCATTTTCAGTTAAATCCACTTAAATCTAAGAAGATAATTTACATTTTGCCATTCACTGTGGACGGGAAAGAAAAGGAACATTTATTAAACGTGACACCAGACAGGTGGAATGACTTCCTTGTGATATATTTGTAAGTTTTACTGTATTTAAGAATTCATTTTTACTAAATTGACTGAAAATGAACTGACTTTAAAGCTATACAACTCTCTGTACAGTAAAACTAAAGGTTATTAGACGGGATGCAGCTTTTCATTAAATGCTCTCCCTGGGCCCGCCCACTGTACGACACTAGCCATTCCTATTGGGCCGCAGGGAAGCAAGGGAGCAGTCTTTTGATTGGGAGAGGGGACCAGTAAACTGAAAGATAATTGGGAGATAGAGGTGGCGCTGCGCAGTGCCAACTAACAACTTTGGGAAAATACATTTAAAGCATATTGGCCTTTACTCTCTGACAAGGGCATGTTATTCACTCGTGATTTTATTTTAATACTTTTAGGACAATCTTTAATACAAAATCTGCAAATTAAGCACAGGTACCAAACGGAGGACATACAGTAAACAGTCCAAAATTCAGATTTATTTTTGCTAATTTTGCAGCAGTTTGTCATCATAGTTCAACACTTCATTTCATTCCCAGCTTCGTTTCATAAAAAGCCAACCAACCCTGCCAGATAAAATAAGATCTGGGATTTAATTGAGCATGTCTTCACATATTTGTTATCTTAAGCGAGTCTAGGTGGAAGGCTAATGTGTTTGATTGGTTTGAGAGTGTGTAGATAACAGATTATCCTACAGTACGTCGAGATAAGATTCTCGACAGCGGCTTATGTCGTAACTGTTTCACCGCAACCAAAATATTCTTCAGCATTAAAGCGATTTTGATATGTTTCTGACCTATTTTACAATCAGTTACCAGTACACTACAATCAGACAGTTACAACCAAAAAAGTTAAATGCTGCTTAAAGGTAAACATCCGACGGTTTGAAGTGCTCTTGCAACCCCTTGAATCTCATGATGTTTTATTCAGTTTTTGGTGTCATTTTACCGCAAATATTCCACAAAAATGTGACTCTGTGTAAATATTGGTGGCATTAAATGGGATAGAGCAAGGGGTCGACAAAAATGTTCAGTGTGAGCTGCGGAAAAACTAATTGTCCTGAAATGTACACGTTTTTAGTGCCACAGATGAATTTGAAAACACTTCCCGACTAACTGGACATAGAGGCATTTTGAATTAGAGACGTTTATCGTTAGGAAATGTTAACACACATTCTCCACGTACCACTTGATTGAGTGGCAATGACTGCCTGGGCTTTCTATGGGGACACAATGGTCTGACCTTTTCTATGCAGTTAAATTACGTTCCAGATGAAGGGGAAGCTTCAACCTTTAACCCCCTAACGCCACAAAGCAGCAGAAAAACATTTTATAAAAATCAACCGTGAAACACTAGGCAGCTTTGGAAACTTTCGCTATCAAAAGAAAAATCACACTTTGAAAAAGGAATTGCTTGTATCACAACAGCTATATTTGTAGATTTGCTCATTGTCTTATCTCTGTGAAATTGATGTAGTTGGGATCTAATGGCGCCCTCTCTGATATTTTTAATATTGTCTCAGTGTTTTTGACATTGAAGGAACACACCACTACAAGCCACCATTTATTTAGTGTACTTCTAGCCCCGGGTTTAACCTCTTTTTCGGGGGTCTGGGCTCTTTTAACCAATCACAGGGGCTTTGGGGGGGCTGCGGGGTCTAGTTTTCCAAAATGTGGACATTTTATTTGAGGTTCATTAAAGAATTGTCTCAAATGAACGCGTTTCTATAAGTAACTTTCTTAACATTAAACACAGTATAGACAAACCGATGAAAGTTATTAGTTACAGTGGCAGCTCCATACAAACATGGATGGAGCTGCCATTTCATAACAGAAATAATCTTTCTGTTATTAAAAACATTAATAACAGAAAGAGATGGTATTAATAATATATAATCAAAAGACAGTATGTTGTTTTCTTGTATGAGGCTGATGAAGTAGATGATTATCTCTGTACCACAGATTTGACCATTTCAATGACCAATAAAACCAGCATCATTTTGTATTTCAATGACTTAAAAACTCAAAAGAAAAACTTTGTATAAAACAAAAAACACTTTGGAAAACCAACCACAGCTGCCTCATTGTTCTCTCTTTAGCCAACCAATGATCATCAGAAGGGTTTTTCTATCTAGCAGCTTATTGTCTTATGTCCCCCACACACAGCCACTCCTCCCCTGTGTAACACTGTTTAAATAAAGGATTGTTATACTCTGAAATCTGTTGGTCTCATCATTGTTTATTCTTTCATAGGTTAATTTGTTGTATAACATGTCAATCCTGCATGCTAATTCTCATAAAACTAGTTTTCTCGGTTGAGGTATTCTAATAATGAAACATAAAGGTAATACAAACAAATCTTTTCAACACAGTTTCAAACGTTCTCCCAAGCTTTAAAGAAAAATACAGCTTTATGATGCTTTTAGCTTCATAACGATGACAGAAAAGGCAATATTCAAGATTACCATGAAGTTTAAAACTGTCATCATTATCACGTCTTTTTTCAGAGTTAATGGTTTTTTCTTTAGACGCTTCAACATTCATCATCTTAAGGCACTTTTATGATGGCTGAGATAAAGTCTCTTCCTGATTGAGTTGATATTTATTATCACACTGATTTGTAGAGATGTCCGTGCAATCTGACAGAAAAGTGATGATTTCAGAAGGTTTATGCTTCTGTTTTCAGTGTGGTTGGTGAAGAAAATGTGTGTGCGCGTGTGCGCGTGCTGACAGCTGAGTGCTACCGGTGCTACCCAACACTCCTCTTGCTCCGGTCTGCACTCCTGTTCATCTGCCGGTAGATGGCGCTTCTATTTTCCACCACCACATCCTCCTCAACTGGGAAATAGTAGGAGAACAAACTTGAGCACTGTTTGAAACATAAAATCAAGGACATAATTCAAAACAGACGGATAATAGTCCTCATACATGTTTTTTCTTGCATAGATGTGGAGGTATTTACCTCTAGTCATAGGCCTACACTATGTTTCATACCCTTTTGCTTGTTGCTATTGTTTGAAACTTTGCTAAATGAATAATGAAATAACAATTTATGTTATCATCGTCAAATTATAAATTCAGTCATCCTTTAGGTCTGCCAATCCTTGATTTGATGTGTTTCATTACGAAGGAAACGAGTTTTGAAAACTGTCCATTCCATTGTGCGCATGCGCAGTGTTAATCACTCGACTCGTCCTCATCACGCACAGGTGTGTCAAAAGTTAATGAAAACATTGTGAAAATCAACTTCCAAACTTACCATTATGAACATTTTAAAAATATATCGTTTTTTCCCATTCATAAGCTACCCTAGACATTTGTGCTAGCTAACTTTAATAGGCTATACTGCTTTGATATCAGAAATCCACTTAGTTAGCTTAGCTATTGCTTACAGCTAGCCTGAGCTAGGCTAGCTCGGAAACGCATTGTTTTATACATTTTGGAGCTTACATTATTAACTAACATTATGTTGTTCACATCCTGTTTCTGAACAAAGACCTGTAGTATTAGAAAGTTGTCAAAAGGTGTTAACTGTGTTGCAGAGTTTCCCCTTTGGATTGTTGAAGATGGACGTCTCCTTGTAAAAATTAACCGGGCAGAGGGAGCTAGGAGGACCACCATATTATTGAGTAAGTATACAGTTAAATTGCATTAATGTGCTATTTAACGCATCAATTAACATCCTGAAATGCAGCTTTAGGCTCTATCTTATGGTGATTTAATGACTGGACTACAGATGCAGCCATGTTTCCTATAAAGTCAGTTAATACTAAAGGCTTGAAGAGAAAGTCGTAAACTCCTAGTTTAAAATAACATTAGTCTTAATTGATTATAATTTCCTGAGAATAAACAGCAGTTGATGAACAGAAAACTACAAACACAGACACACTTCCTAGTGTTACTACATGGCCATAGGAGAACTTAATCTTTTAAAACAGGTCACAAAATACGAAATAAAATGTCAGCACTTGTATTATGCCTCACCAAGAAATTGATGAACACATCTTCTTTATATAGATGGCTGCAGTGCACACAGTATACATCAGGGCAAACTGTGAGCTGACTTAAGGAGGCTGTGGTCCTTTTTTAAGTAGAATTTTAGGCTTATCTAGTGAAAATCTCAATAAAAGAAATCTTTACTTTCATATATCCTGTCTGTGGTAGTTGGAGAGGATGATTTCGGTAGACCTATAACCTTTACTGGATGTGTTGATGACTGAGTGCCTGAACGTTGTGTCAAAGCAAAGCCCAAAGGGGTCAAGTTCACTTATCAAAACAACGCTTGTTATCAGAACACACACACACACACACACACACGCACACACACGCACACGCACACTCACACACACACGCACACACACACTCACACAGATGAAAGAGAAGCCATTTCTGCAATGTTTCCACGCTTTGATGCTCTGACCCTCTTTAACACACACTGTATCTTTCACACATTCACATGTAAACACACAAACAAAATAGGCCACTATAGATAATCAAATCAGTGACCTGGCCCTCAGTCACACTTAGTTTCATCATATAAATGTCATTTTGCCAAGTTGTTTTTCTTCTTCTTGCAGCCTATTTTGGATCTTTTTCATTATTTAGAGTGTAGCTTGTTTACGGGGCCTCAAGACATTTTTCTACATGACATGAGCCGTCGGGTATTGTTAAAAAGATATAGTGTATGAGTGCGTTTGCAGAAAGTATGGTGCAATTCATGTATTACTTTTCTGTAGATACTGGTATGAATACAAATATGTGCGTGACCTTGGACTGATAGTGCTAGTTTTAGTGATTGATAGCATGCGATAAAACCTCCTCTTTGGAGTACTCTTTTATCTAGAAATCCTTTCAATGTGTTGATGCGTTTATTTATAGTTAGCGTAGCCCCGGAGAAAGACACGGCCATTTAGTTACAGAGCACCATGGTAAATATAACATTAGCAAGAGATGTGGACATGGCCTAGACATTTAAAGTTAATGACGTTGCCTACCCTGTCTGACCTTCCAGCTGAGGTAGACGATCAGTTGCAGCAGCAGCAGGCAGACAGACAGGAACAGCAGCAGACCAAACAGCCAGAGAGGGAAGAAGCTGTCTGTCTCTCTGTCTGTCTGCACCATGGTCTGTCGAAGGAGCAGAGCCAAATCAGCCCAGGGGCCGCTCAGCACCTCCATGCTGCTGCTGCATGGGAGGAAACATTTTAAAAGAGGGTGCCAGATTAATGTGATTATATGACAAATGAGGCACAATGGGACCACCAAATGACATCAAGGTTAAAAAAGGGATTACATTAAAAGTCCAATTCTCTCACATATACGTTTTAATAGCAAGTAAGTCAACGTTTCTTAGACTTTTATGTCATATACTACAGTTGTTCTAATATCATGTAAAAACAAACTTAAATTGGATGAGGTCTTTCCTTCATGTTGACATACAATGTAGTTATTAGTAGAGCTGGTAACATGGTAGTACCTCCTTCAAAGTACCTTTTATAGTATTTGCAAGAGTTAATTAAGTTAAACAAACCAAATCTTTAATCAATTTGAGTAATTTCAGCATTTTAACAGTAATTGTTAAATAAGGAAAAAAGTCAGAGCTCTTGCAGGCTTGCCCATTGTTTTTTTTGAAAATCCCAAATGTATTTACAATTTAAAATGAGATGGAGAAAATAATGTAGTTTTTGTATATGCACATTAATCATACAATTACCATTCTGTTTTCAATAGTAGTGACACATGATGTAAAGTTATTTTCAAAGGAAAATGCGGTATGAGACATTTTAAAGAATGTATTTACATTCTTTGTTTCGATGTTTGCTAACAAGCATGCAGATCAGTTCAATGTGTCCATATATGGTACATTAAAACATTCTGAGTTAAAAATTAATCATGCTAATAATATCAACCCTATCTGATTTTGCTGATGGTCAAGTCATGTGTGTCATTTCCTTTATGTTTGAATGGAAACACAAAAGGAAAACACAGCTCAGAGTACCCCAAAACAAGCAGCTACATTCACAGAACACTTTTGTGAACACCGCATAGACGGTTATTAGTATAAATCAAAAGATCTACTTACAGTTTCAGGTTCACCAGAGACAGGTTTGAAGGGATGCAGGTGGTAATGAGTTACAGATGTCTGCCAAATGTTATCAGTGAGCTAAAACATAGTTGTCCTGGCAGCTGTCGGTACTCAAATGAAATGGTATCATAGCCAGGAATTAAGTGGAGGTCAAAGGTGACATATTTGCGATGGCTGTCACATAACTTCAAGACCTAAAAGTTTTCAAACTCAGTCAGCGTCGGGGTGTCACATCAGCTTTCACCGGTGAAGGAAGTGAGATAATCCACAGAATAATTCCTCAGGGAGAAATGGTGGGTGTAATCCAGAGGTAAAGCAGGTACTGTGAGTTTCTCTCTGTCTTTCTTTTGCTCCCGTCCCTCTCTCTCATTGGCAGAAATGCCCCCACTGTTGTTGTTGACGATGTGAACTTTGTTCTCTTTCAACGGTCAAACCTTGTGATCGCTAAGAAGATTAGCTCTACTGGCCAGGTCTGAGTGTGTGAATATGTGTGTGTTACAGTACAGAGAGTGTGTTACTGCACGTTAATCCAAACGGGAAAATGTGTCTAAATCCGATACTTTTTTGTGTTCGTGTGCTTTGGGAGCTTGAGTTATGTTTTGATCATTGAACCTTAGACCTTTGCTCTCACTGTGTCATAAAACACACACATACTCACTGACACACACACATTATTCCCCTCAGATTGAAAAGAGAAGTCTCACTCCCTGCCTTTTTCCCTTTGTCTACTTATCTTTACCAACAGAAACTGACACCTTTTTGATCAGTGAATCTAATGAATACTTTAAAAGAGCACTGATGGCATCAACCTTGACTGAGTCCTCACAACAAAAAGGGAGGGGGAGGGGGCAATCAGTTTGACACTTAACTTACATACTGTAGTGTTACACCCTGTTGGAAGTCACATGAACACATTACTTTTAAGGTTGTTGAACATATTTGTAATGTGCACAGATATCAAATCAAAGCACATTTTAATTATACAGCCCAATATCTCCAACTACAAATTTGCCTCAGGGGATTTTTCAATCTGTACAGAAAATGACTCTGTCCTTAAAACCTTTTAATGAACTAGTAAAAACTCCCCAAAAGATACCCCACTATTAGTTTAGGAAATGTGGATATGAGATGGATTAA